CGATGGGCCGAATGGCCTCCTCTCGTTTGTATAGTTCTTATGTTCTTATGTTCTAATAATTGGATATTTGTCAATGCTGTGACCACCAGACAATGGATACTAGTATATTTGACTTGAATAAAGTCAACCTATCAGTACTTAGCCATCAGCATATTACTGAGACAGAAAAATGATAAATTTCAATACCTGCAAACCTACATGTACTTGAGGCAACAAAAACACAAAACAAGACAAGAAGAATAGTTGTGAACAATGATATTTACAATGATATTTATTATCTTAGTGTTTTCGTAAGGTGGGCCACCAGATTCTTTGGATGTGGTCACCCAACAGAAGTCTCCCAGGCCATATGTGGGTGACCACAGAAAGAGCTGCTGGGGTCCCACTGGGAGACCACCTTTCAACTGTAATTGTCCACCCCTGATCCTCCTGTCAGGGCAAAGCGTTGAACCTGGGGTGACCGAGCCTTCTCTTTAGCCACCCCTTCTCTCTGGAATTCTTTACCACAACCCATCAGAAAACGTGAAGACCTGGCAACTTTCAAGTCTCTTCTCAAAACCCATCTCTTCAAATCTATCTATAACCACTAACCACTGCTCTTTGACCCACATGCATGTGCTCCTCTGGTTCATTCATTTGTTCTTACTTGTGCTGCTTTCCTATGTAAGTTTTCAGTACATTCTGTTTTAAATTTTTTGGTTTTATGTAAGTGTTTTATTGTATATTTTAACTTAATTGTATCTCCAATTTCTATTCTTTGAGTACCTTGAAAAGTGCCCTATAAATAAAATGTATTATGATTATTATTATTATTAATTCTTAAATTTCCGTAGTAAACCACCTTGGCTGCAGCTTCCTAGATTTAGTTTTGCTGGAAACAGGTATAAAGTCCTCTTGCACTTGCAACAATGTGCTTTTAAAAAAATCCCATGCCTCTTCAATAGTCTTGCTATTTAACTCCATCCAGTTTACAGTTTCTAGTTTCAGTCTCATACCATTAAAGTTAGCCTTCCTAACATTGTATACTTTTATTTTGGACTTTGGTCTTCGCACACTAAAATTAACCTCAAATTTAACCATGTTATGATCACTACCGTCCAGTGCTTCTAAAACCTCTGATTTTCCAGTCCTATCTTGGTTATTAGAGAAAACAAGATCAAGAAGGGCTTCTCCTCTGGTAGGGGTATTAACAAACTGAGTAAAAAAACAATCCTGTACTAATTCCACCATCTCAACTTCATTTACAGAAGAGCCAGAGACTGTGTCCCACTGTATCCCAGGTAAATTAAAATCACCCATAACCGCCACATCATTTTTATTACTCATAATCCTGATATCGTCATATAACATTCTGCTTTCCTCTGCATCTACATTAGGTGCTCTATAACAAACACCGACAATTAGGCCATCACTATAGTGATCATGAAATCTTTTAAGAGGAAATCAGTTAATGCAACAAACTGGAATTATATCACCACAACTTAAAATGCTCCAAAAATCTAAGTACACTCAAAACAACTGAGTTACTACTCAAACAATTAATTTTTGAGCAAAGTCAAATTTGTGGAAATGAGTGAATCCAATTTTTAGGCAAATTAAGTTCCATTAACTTACTTCTTTTATTAAGAAGTACTGTTAGGTTGTACAGTGTAGGAGTCTAAAGGGCACAACAACAGGGAAAGACATGTTTGAAGCTGTGTCAGAAGCAATTGACAAGATGGGACCTGAATGGGGCATGTGTGGAGTTACAATGGATGGGGCTCCAGCTATGACAGGTGAGCGCAAAGGAATGGCTGCTATGGTGTGTGCCAAGGTGCAAGAGAGCGGAGGCGAGGCTGTTAAAATGCACTGTATAATTCAGCAAGAAACTCTCTGTGCCAGTACAGTGCAGCTTGGTGATGAGATGAACACTGTTGTGAAAACTGTCAATACATTTTGATCACGAGGGTGAATTCAAGCATAGAGAATTTCAAGCTTTCCTATCTGATGTTGATGCTGAATACGGGGACATACTCTATCATTCTAATATACGCTGGCTAAGTCGAGGCTCCATGCAGCCACGTTTTTTTCTCTGACATCAGAAATCGACCAGTTTTTAAAAAAGAAGGGCCGACCTCATCATGAGCTGAGTGACACTCTATGGTTGGCAGACCTGGCATTTTTAGTTGGTCTTACATATCATCTTAATACATATCATCTCTCAGATCCTCTTCCTCATTATATTTGTCTGTTGCACCTGTCCGTCTTACCACAATGGGGAGCAGAGCATTTAGCCGATCTGCACCCCGCCTTTGGAATTCCCTCCCAGCTCAACTTAGAAACATGGACTCATTTTCTCATTTCAAATCTGGACTCAAAACCTATCTGTTCAAGCGAGCCTATTCATTGTAAAACCCATTTATTTGTCATTTATATTTATTTATTTATTTTGCATTTTATCCTTTGTAGTGTGTATAAATTTTATGTATGCCTGTACGGTGACCTTGAGTGTCAGAAAGGCGCCTTTTAAATAAAATGTATTATGAACAAGAGCATACAAGGCAAAGACAAGCTTGTACAGCAACTTCATGCACACTTGAAAGCATTCTGTTTGAAGCTCCGTCTCTTTGAGACCCAGCTATGCAACTTCAGTGTTGCGCACTTTCCCACGCTGTCCCAAATCAAATTTGCTTTTCCAAAGGCCAACCTTTCTGCCAAAAAGGGGGAATACTGTATGTCTCTGTAATTACCTAATTACAGATAATTAATAATTAATTATATTTCATGACAGAATTCAGGCAACGCTTCCAAGATTTTTCTGTCATTGAGAAAGAAATCAAGTTGTCCTCGACTCCTTTCCTGATGGATGCAGAAGAAATGGAAGAGAGTCTGCAATTAGAACTCATCGAAATGCAGTGTGATAACACTCTGAAGAACCAACATCAGCTTCTCTCTCTACCTGCCTTCTGGAAAAGCACAAGTTTCCTCTGATTTGACGCCACGGTAAAAGAATGATCAGTCTGTTTGGCTCAACATACGTATGTGAGCAATCATTTTCTCTGTTAAATCTGAACAAAAACAGGTTGAGAACAAAAATGAAAGACAGACATCTGTGTGATGACCTTCGCATCTCATCCACCAAACTTACTCCTGACCTGCCAGCCATCTTTCAGTCCAAAGTGCAGCATCACTGCTCCCACTGAGTGCAATACTGTTCCCATTATATAGGTGAGATATAATAGACAATATTCATGTTAATAAGCATAATTACCTAATAAATTCAGTAAATTAAAGTTAATATTTCATAACAAACATTAGTGGAGTCTTAACAAGCCCAATAACTTATATAACAAGCTTCAAATACACCTCTTTCCCCCTATTACCCCCCCCCCCCCACCCGTGTTTATAGAGGGCCGTGAAGGGGGATCACCATCCTGACTAAGAAGCAATCTGAGACTGCCATTTTCTGAATGAGCTGCCAACCATTTTTGTCATAAAATAAATCAAAATCACAATTAACGGAAAGTTGTGATGCTGGCTATTTTTTAAACACATTAAATTATTAAGCATAATTATAATTTATTGACCAAATTTGATTGATTGAGCTTAAATACACAAGAGATGAGCCAATATACCTAACGTCTAGTGAGTTGGCCCAGCCCTCTGAATATTTTTCTGTATGTGGCCCTCAGTAAAAAAAAGTTTGGACACCCCTGATGTAAACCAATCACTTGATCTGCGGACTGGATTTAATAACCATTAAAAATCACTGGTCATTGCTCGACCAGTACGATGTGATTTCATAACACGGAAAATAAATTTCAGCACCAAATGTCCTGTGGGTAATGGCAATAAGAACATGATGACAGAGGCTCAGTGGATGGTGCTGCAACTTCACACTTCTAGGGCTGGGAGTTCAAATCATGCCCCTGGCTCTGTGTGTGAGGAGGTTGCCTGTTCTTGCAGTGTTATGTGGGGTTTCCATAGCTTCAAACTAAATATCCTGCAGCAGAGTTAATCCCTTCCTAAAGCACAATGAGGATAACAAACTGAAACAGAGTGAAACTAAAAATAACAGATGAAGAGCAAACACCAAACCAGAATATCATCCTTCCTCTCAAGCAAGAACATTATATAAAGATATATATATATCTAAATATATATAAAGGATAAATGAATGTTATACCAGGATATGAAAAGTTACACAATCACATTACCTTCAAAGTCATGCTGGTTTCCATTTCTCCTGCTCCTGCTTGGTTTGTAATGTTGCCATGGAAGATAGAATTGATGGAGTTGAAGAAGCTTGATTTTCCAGCTTTAATCTGACCAATTAGAAGAATCCGAGCCTGAGGCACTGAATCAATAGTGGGCTTGTAATCTTGCAGGTATTGCATGAGATCGGTTCGTGTGCTAAAAGAACAGAAATTGGAATTGGAAATTAGTCAAAATTCATAAGGAATATAAACAATCCCACATCTAATAACATGTTATTACAGCTTCCTTTACATCTCATTAGTCATCTGCAACTGAAACCACTTAATGAAGTATCATACATGCTTATTAGAAAGTGTTTATATATTTATTAATATTTCATTTACAGGTGCTTTTAACCAAAGCTATGCAAATTTGAGGAGGCAAGAGTTAAGGGTCTACTTCAAGGGCCCAATGGCGACGTCACTCTGCTGAACATAAGAACAGAATCTTCAGAATCTTTATCGCAACATAAAATTGGCGTTGGCACAGCTTGCTACAATTGGAGACACCATGACAATAGAAATTTAACAATTAGGGCATAAGCAGACAGATTTAATATAAGGCAAAAGATACACAACAGAGATGTATAAATGCAAGGTAGGTGATAAATATGGTTATCAGCTGGTGAGCTAACCTGCAGGGCCACACACTGGCCAGTGTTTATATGTGAGCTTGTGTGGGGGGAGAAGGTTATGTAACTCATGCATATTTTAAAAATATAGGCATAAATTTATGTGATGCTAGTAAAAAATAAACAAGTTGTTGATTATATTTGACAAAAACAGGCTTCATACCTATGGTCCCACACAACATTCCTCCAAGCTTTATCAAGGAGCTCTGGTTTTTTCTCCACTGTCACTGGGGTACTTTTTCCACTTCCCATTTTCCAAACACCAACATCCAGACCTGTTCAATGAAAGCATTGTGTTTTCATTATCGGTTCACTAGTCCCTGGAGAAATTGGGGTTAAGGGCCTTGTTCAATGGCCCAACAGGAAAAATACTGGGCCGATCAAATGATCTGAACCAGCAACCTGCTGATTATGTCCTACACTCTAAAAAATAATGTATTGGGTCTACTCAAAAAGTTATGTTAACTATTTGCATTGATCTTTTCAAGTTGTCCCAACTTAACTGTCCCAATTCAGTATTATTAAGTAATTGTTACTAAACTATCATTATTACACCAACAGAAATCATTAAATACACTAAAAGCTATATTAAGTTGAATCTACTTGATATTCAGTGGGCACTATTTGAATTTTCATATTGGTTGTACTTAATGCATGAGTTAGTTACACCATTAAATCAAGCACAATAAACATGTTTTTCCTTCTATATCCAAAAGCTAAATTAAGTAATACCTACTTAATGTTAATTCAATATTCATTGAAATATTAAGTTACCTCATCATTCAAATAAAGTTGCTTTACCTTAATTTTTTTGTTTTCTACTCAAAAATGTCCATGCAAATAGTTACTTTCTTTAGTATTAGTACCTTGTTTTACTTAAGGGAAATAAAAAACAAGAACCGCATTTCACAATTCAAAATTTTAATAAATGTTAAATAATAATCAGCATCATCATCACATTATTAATCCCCATGGGGAAAATTATCTTTTATGTCTCCCTCAACTTGCTTTTTGTAAGTAAGTTGTCCATGAAGGACAGCCACTCATGGCTGCACCCAGGGAGCTGGGGGTTAGGGGCCTTGCTTAAGGACCCACAGACATGCTGAGGCTGGGTTTGAACTGGTGACCTTGTGATTACAGGCACACAGGCTTAGCCCACTGAGCCACACAGAACACAGGGTTCCAGTTGTTGTAGTACAAGAATTTTTATAAATAAATTACAAATATCAACTCTAAACACAAAAAGCATACAATAGGTATTTTAGACATCCAGAAAGTGCGCAAATGTTACAAAAGCAGTCAAGTAGAAAACAATTTCAATAATGGAATGTAATCGTGTGCATTATATGTGTGTATGATCAGCAGGGTTTAAATATGAGTACAGTCAATCTATTTCAATACATCTATATTGTACAGCACAATACTATATATAGTACTATACACTATATACAATATCTATACAGTACCTAAGTAGTATCGCATTTGTAAAATGCAACTAGAAAACCCCTTGTCCCATGCTGTCTTGCCATGCTTCCCCGAAGATAATACTTGTCAGATTGGAACGTGTGTCTTCTGTTCAAGTAATTTAGCTGTGGAGCTTAATGAAAAATGGCGGGACCACAATTTGCATCAGTTAGCATTGCACCGCGCTAGCAGACCATAACTGCTCTGGGTAAAATTGTTCTAAAACATGTTACAAAGCAAATGTGCCAGTGTTAAATTAACACTGCATGGTGTTTATATGGGCCCACACCATTCAGTGTTATGTAATTCAGTGTAATAATGATAGAAGGAAAGGTGGCCAGGCCGATACTCATGGGGCCTGGTCAGGCACAGCCCGAACAAGGCACGTGGCTCACCACCCATAGGAGGGGCCATAGGGGTCGGGAGCGTTGTGAGCTGGGCAGTGGCCAAAGGCGGGGACCTTGGTGGTCCGATCCTCGGCTGCAGAAGCTAGCTCTTGGGACATGGAATGTCACCTCTCTGATGGGGAAGGAGTCTGAGCTGGTGCGCGAGGTTGTGAAGTTCCGGCTAGACATAGTCGGGCTCACCTCGATACATGGCTTGGGCTCTGGAACCAGTCTCCTCGAAGGGGGTTGGACCCTCTTCCACTATGGAGTTGCTTACGGGGAGAGGCGCCGAGCGGGGGTGGGCATACTTATTGCCCCCTGGCTGGGTGCCTGTACATTGGGGTTTACCGCAGTGGACGAGAGGGTAGCCTCCCTTTGCCTTTGGGTTGGGGGACGGGTTCTGACTGTTTGCGCTTATGCGCCAAGCGGCAGTTCAGAATACCCACCCTTTTTAGAGTCCCTGGAGGGGGTGTTGGAGAGCACTCCTCCTGGGGACTCTCTTGTTCTACTGGGGGACTTCAATGCCCACGTGGGCAATGACAGTGAGACCTGGAGTGGCGTAATTGGGAGGAACGGCCCCCCCGATCTGAACCCGAGTGGTGTTTTGTTGTTGGACTCCTATGCTCGTCACGGATTGTCCATAATGAACACCATGTTCAGGCATAAGGGTGTTCATATGTGCATTTGGCACCAGGACACCCTAGGCCGCAGTTCGATGATCGACTTTGTAGTCGTGTTATCGGACTTGCAGCCGCATGTCTTGGACACTCGGGTGAAGAGAGGGCCGGAGCTGTCAACTGATCACTACTTGGTGGTGGGTTGGCTCCGCTGGTGGGGGAGGAAACTGGCCAGGCCTGGTAGGCCCAAGCGTATAGTGAGGGTCTGCTGGGAACGTCTTGCGGAATCCCCTGTCAGGAGCAGTTTCAACTCCTACCTCCGGGGGAGGTGGGGGACATTGAGTCCGAATGGGCTATGTTTTGCGCCTCCATTGTGGAGGTGGCTGGCCGGAGTTGTGGCTAAGGTGGTCGCAGCAGCAATCCCCGAACCCATTGGTGGACACATGCCGTCAAGCTGAAGAAGGAGTCCTATCGGGCCTTTTTTTAGCCTGTGGGACTCTGCTGACAAGCGGGGTGCGGCTTTGATGGTCGCTGAGGCAAAAACTCGGTTATGGGAGGAGTTTGACGAGGCCATGGAAAACGACTTCCGGACGGCTTCGAGGCGATTCTGGTCCACCATCCGGCGGCTCAGGGCGGGAAAGCGGTGCAGCATTAACACTGTTTATGGTGAGGATGGAGTGCTGCTGACCTCAACTCGGGACGTTTTGGGTCGGTGGAAGGAGTACTTCGAAGACCTCCTCAATCCCACCGACACGCCTTCCAATGTGTAAGCAGAGTATGGGGACTTGGGTGTGGACTCCCCTATCTCTGGGGCGGAGGTCGCTGAGGTGGTTAAAAAGCTCCTCAGTGGCCGGGCCCCGGGGGTGGATGAGGTCCGCCCGGAGTTCCTTAAGGCTCTGGATGCTGTGGGGCTGTCCTGGTTGACACGCATCTGCAGCATCGTGTGGACATCGGGGGCAGTGCCTCTGGACTGGCAGACCGGGGTGGTGGTCCCCCTCTTTAAGAAGGGGGACCAAAGGGTGTGCTCCAACTATAGGGGGATCACACTCCTCAGCCTCCCTGGTAAGGTCTATTCGGGGGTTCTGGAGAGGAGGGTCCGCCGGATTGTCGAACCTTGGATTCAGGAGAAGCAGTGTGGTTTTCTCCCTGGCCGTGGAACAGTGGACCAGCTCTATACTCTCCGCAGGGTTCTGGAGGGTCCATGGGAGTTTGCCCAACCAGTCTACATGTGTTTTGTGGACTTGGAGAAGGCAAGGGGAGTCCTGTGGGGGGTGCTCCGGGAGTATGGGGTGCCGGGCTTCCTTTTAAGGGCTGTTCGGTCCCTGTATGACCGGTGCCAGAGCCTGGTCCGCATGGGCGGCAATAAGTCGGACTTGTTTCCGGTGAGGTTTGGACTCCTTGAGGGCTGCCCATTGTCACCGATTCTTTTCATAGTTTTTATGGACAGAATTTCTAGGCGCAGCCAGGGCATTGAGGGTGTCTGGTTTGGTGACCTCAGGATTAGGTCTCTGCTTTTTGCAGATGATGTGGTTCTGTTGGCCTCATCGGACCGTGACCTTCAGCTCTCGCTGGGGCAGTTCGCAGCCGAGTGTGAAGCGGCTGGGATGAGAATCAGCACCTCCAAATCCGAGACCATGGTCCTCAGCCGGAAAAGGGTAGAATGCTCTCTCCGGGTTGGGGATGGGGTCCTCCCCCAAGTGGAGGAGTTTAAGTACCTCGGGGTCTTGTTCACGAGTGGGGGGATGATGGAACGGGAGATCGACAGGCGGATCGGTGCGGCGTCCGCAGTCATGCGGGCGCTGCATTGGTCTGTCATGGTGAAGAAGGAGCTGAGCCAAAAGGCAAAGCTCTCAATTTACCAGTCGATCTATGTTCCTACCGTCACCTATGGTCACGAGCTGTGGGTAGTGACCGAAAGAACGAGATCGCGAGTGCAAGCGGCCGAAATGAGTTTCCTCCGCAGGGTGGCTGGGCTCTCCCTTAGAGATAGGGTAAGGAGCTCGGTCATTCGGGAGGGACTCAGAGTAGAGCCGCTGCTCCTGCGCATTGAGAGGAGTCAGATGAGGTGGCTCGGGCATCTGCTTAGGATGCCTCGTGGACGCCTCCCTGGTGAGGTGTTCCGGGCATGTCCCACTGGGAGGAGGCCCCAGGGAAGACCCAGGACACGCTGGAAGGACTATGTCTCTCAGCTGGCCTGGGAACGCCTCGGGATTCCCCCAGAGGAGCTGGATGAAGTGGCCGGGGAGAGGGAAGTCTGGGTTTCCCTGGTGAGACTGCTGCCCCCGCGACCCGACCTCGGATAAGCGGGAGATAATGGATGGATGGATGGAGGAAAAACATGTTTATTGTGCTTGATTTAATGGTGTAACTAACACATGCATTAAGTATACAACCAATATGAAAATTCAAATAGTGCCCACTGAATATCGAGTAGATTCAACTTAATATAGCTTTTAGTGTATTTAATGATTTCTGTTGGTGTAATAATGATAGTTTAGTAACAATTACTTAATAATACTGAATTGGGACAGTTAAGTTGGGACAACTTAAAAAGATCAATGCAAATAGTTAACATAACTTTTTGAGTAGACCCAATACATTCTTTTTTAGAGTGTAACCGACTGCCCCGTTACCCTTTTGCACGAACCTTTTTAACAATATACTTTATACATTTTCAATATGACTTATGCTACAGGTAGCTAAGGAGTAAAATGTTTGTTAAATGGATTTTTACAGTGCTTGAAGTAGGAAAAAACAGGTGCCGATACTCACCTTGTTATCTTTTACTGATACTAGAAAATCATGAGAGTTGCCAACATACTAGAAATGTTGCCAGTTCTCTGAAAAGAAAGACAAAGAGGTGCCGGTACAGCCTCTCCCTGAGCAGCCCACTTCAAGCACTGGATTTGTACCTACAGCGCCCCTCCTCCCCACCACTAACTACAAAATAAATGCATAAACAATAAGAGTGAAAAAATAAAGATGCTGCAAAAATACAAATACAGTTCTAATTTAACAGCTTTCAATTGCATGAATAATTAATGTACTGATATTTATTTTGAAATCAGCTCCCCATTAATGGCACAGTTTGAGAACATTGGAAACTCCCATTTCCAAATACATATTCCCAGGGCTAGAATGGAATTAAAAACTGGCTTTGGACTTTTGTCCATAGAGACCTACCACACATAGAAATATATGACAAAATTTAACAACCAACAACCCCATTGGCCCAAACTCCCCTTTTGTAAACGTTCTTCCACCCCCTGACTTTTTATATATTATTGTGAAAGTGAAAGTAGGAGTCAAACATTTTGTATAGTTAGACATGTTTTACTCCACATTTCATAAATGCTTCATGGACCAATTCTCATTTCAGGGTTACCGTACGGTAATTTAAACAAAAACATAGTTACGTCTTATCTTATAAGTCGCTTTAAAGAAAACATATATTTATGATTTCGCTGACGTAAACTTTGCTTTTTTAAAAGGAAAAAATAGCTTAGTGGCTACGGTCTTTATGTTCACTTAAGAATTCCTCGAATTCATTTTTGTATTAATATCAGTCTACATGAGTTACCCAGTAATAACACCTTTTTAGGACAACGGTGACTAAAATTTCCGGTCAAAGACGTCTAAAAAAATCCTGTAACCGGACATCTCATAAAACCACTAAATGAACAAGCTATAGGGTTTCTTACATGTTGTACGCTGTTGAAATATAGGCTACAAATTTGACATACTCACGTTTTCCTAACGATCTTCGACCGATTTTGATTTTACAGATTATTGTGAAAGTAGGAGCTAAACTCTGTAGTTCATTGCTATGCGAATGAAGGAATTAAAACATTTTGTATAGTTACAGACGCGACATTTTTCACTTCGTAGTTCATAAATATTTCATATTGTAGCAATTCTCATTTCAGGGTTACCCTATATATGCTACGTAAGCTGACAAAAGATGCTTGGCTATAATTTAAACTTAATTACAAATTATCTTATAAGTAGATTTAAAGTACATCGTTCCTCAAATGGATTCTTGTATGCAGACAATCCTTCGTGTCCGCGGATTTTGTACCTGCGGATTCAAGAAACTGTGGACCGAAAATAAACAGACAAACAAACAAATAAACCACAGAAAGAATAAATTAAATGAACAAATAAAACCGAAAGTTCCAAAAAGCAAAACTTTAATTTCGTTGTATCCATGCGAATGAGGTGATGTGTAGGTGCAGAGGGAGAAATAATTAAAGAGAAAATATAAATTAAATTTATGTACCACAATGATCTCGTCTGTACTGAACATGTACAGGCTGTTTTTTCTTGTCAGTATTCCCAAAACAATGCATTAGGCCTATAACCGCTATTTACTGAACATGCCGTTTACATTGCATTAGGTCTAATAACTAAGGTAGAGTTCATTTAAAGTATAGGAGAGAATGTGCGTACGTATAGAGGTCACCAGGAAGAAGCACACGCTGATTACAGCACCCGCCACACGACAAACCACCTCAGGGATGAGAACCTGAATGCAGCTGTGCAGTGGGTGATGCCTCAGCAGCCCACTAGTCCTAATGGACCAGTGTGAGTTTTTTTCGGTGGCGGGAGTGCCAATGTGCGTAGGTTATATGCAAATACTACGCCATTTTATTCAAGGAAAAATATAAGTACGGTTCTTTTTACTAATTATTAGAAGACGTTTTGTATAGGCTACGTATTGGTTATGAAATCAATATTAGTTCCAAAGTAATAACACGGTTTGAGAACAACGGCAACTGCCGTTTCAGCCAAAGATTTCTCTACAGAACATACAGTAGTGTATCTGGAGTTATCCCAAAACCACTACATTTACGGGGTTTCTTACATGTTGTACGCTATTGAAATATACATATTTATTTGACAAACTCACCTTTTCCAAACGGTCTTCGACACCACAGTTTTTACAGACGGTTGTGAAAATGAAAGTAGGAGATCAAAGGCATTTTATATAGTCACCCAAGGAACGTTGACCACACCATGGTTCATGAATATTTAATATCGCAGTGATTCTCATTTCAGTGTTACACAAAAAAAGCAGACTGGGTGTCTGTTATATTATCCTAAGTCTAACATGTAGCTTCTATTACATAAAATCATGTTTTGTAGCTGAACAGTTTTAAATCATGTAGTTTTAGCACAACATGCAACGACTTAAAATTTAGTAGAATAATTTATGTTAACACAACATAATTTTAATGGGTTTCGTTTGCAAATCACTTCCTCTTATAACTGCAGTAGCAGTAATGTGCGAATAGGAGTGCCCCTCATTATTTTATATTTATCGGTCAGGCCATGGTCAACGGTGTGTCCCTGAAAAAGAGCAATTACCATCTCCTTTGTTCATTACTTTATCATCCATCGGATAGAAAACAATACAGATGCAGATATGTTATCAATTAACAGTTAGTTATCGACCTCTTTGGTATTTTGGATTATCTATAGGCTATCATTACCGGGTATTTTATTATTTTATTAATATATCTCACTGTCACCATGTGCATCCACACGTACACTCGGTGTTGCTAACTCGTCAGAATATTTAACGAGTTTTCAGACCCCTCCGGCGACTCTTATTCAAAAAAGCGACTATCGACAAATCTAGTGATTTTTTCTGGAGTTACTGGAGACTTGCTCTTACGGTTCCCAACTTCGTGAAGTGGTGGCCTGAGGGGGAGGCGGTTACGTAACAAATGGAAGAAAAAAAATGCTGCGCCACGTTTCAAAGTTTTGTCGGTAATAATTTTCATTTAATAAATTAATGTCATTAAAGCGCTCAGTGGATATTTTCACGGATGACGTTGTTCTTCAACGTCTGTTTTATCCATAAAATACGTATTTGTCGCGCCTGCAGTCCTCCCTGTAAAAAGTCTGTAGTCAGTGTGAGCGCTGAAGCAGCAGAGCAGCAGTGGACAAGCAATGAAAAGTTATCCGTTTAACTTCGTTTCCTCAGAGTTTAGTACATATATGCCACATGTAAGTACAGCTACAAATGTTGTTTTCCATTATGTGTTAGCATCTCGTTAGTTTTCCACATACAGTAAACTTAAAAAAATGTTTGTACTACTGAAAAACAAGTGAAAGACAGAGGTGTCATACTGTATTTTATCAGGAATGTACGGGGGAATGAAAACATGGATATCGCCGTACTTTATACTGTAGTGAGGGGCGTGCAGAGTATCTGCTATTTATATACTGATGAGTTGCATCTGGAAAGGGGTGGAGGGATGTCTTTTAAAAAGGGGCCTGGAACAGATAGGGGGGCGCTGGTGTGTGGTGGGGGGAATCGCTCCGCTTACTCGCGGCTAATGTGGTTTGGGGAACGCGGTGTGCCCGTCGCCGATATGTTAGGTCGGCCGCGGGTGAAGGTACCTGCTCTCCTGTACTTGCCTCGCTAAGTTTGTGGGGAAGTTAGTCTTGTGCTGTCCATAGGGAGCTGCGGAGTGTATCGGATATGAGAGCTGTGACTGTGCAGCGGTACCACGGCACAGAACTTCTGCCTCCTCTGGAGGAGGACGGGGAGGCTGAGATTGACTCACTCCACACTGAAAAAAAGAACATGTTGGATTTACTTACAGTTTTTCTCCATTGGTTTGGCTCATTTCTTGAAACCGAGATGACATTCTCAAAACCATAAGGTCATTTGGCCAAACAGTCTTACAGTTCTGCTCAACATTATAGCTCACTAGCAAAATCAAATATCTTTCCCCAAACTCTTCATCCATGCTTCAAAAGCAGATTC